AATAATGGCATCCAATGTTTGAATTTGATGTTCGGGAAACCATCGTAGCGCTGCTTCTCGAAACGTCTTGCCGGCATCAATCAGGATATTGTGGCATTTCTGATCACTACTAGTAGTAGTAGTAGTATTGTCTGTATCAGTATCAGTATCAGTGTTGCAGAGTGACAAAAGCAAGGCTGGATTGTTTCTATAGTTTTTGTTGTGTTTGGGATCTCCTCCTTGAATGGCTGCCATGGACGTTTGACAGCGATGCTGAAACTCTGCTTTCAACTTGGGGTCTATTTGTGTTGCTGGCGTAGTGTTATTATTGTTGTTGTTTAAGCCAAAGATCATGGTACAGAGTGGTTTGGGACATCCCGTCGACGACCCGGTCCCCAGAAAGAGTAATCCCGTGCGACCATTCAAGGTTTCTTCTTCTTTTTTGTTGGCTTCATTCTCTGTTTTGTTCGTCTTGTTGTTGGTGGTGGCTGCTGCTGTGACGGTGGCCAAGAATAGGAGTGGTCCTCGACTAGTAATACTAGTACCACACAACAGTCGGTTCATCTTGCTTAGCTTTGTGGGCTTGGCTTGGCTCTTGGCTCTGCTTTGTGTTTTGTTTCTTGTTTGGCTTTGGATTTGGATTTTGCCGACCTCGGATCCTGCAATCGTCATTGGCAATCTTCATTCCACTTTTGGGTCCGCGGGAATAGTGGTTCCTGCCAAGAAGAAAAAAAACGGAGGGGGGGAGGATTAAATCCAGAATGACGTGGGCTTTCGTCATGGTCTATCCACCTCTAATCAACCAATGTCGCTGCCATAACAAAGCAAAGGTCATGGGACGTTCTTTACTGGCATTTTCTTAGCTTAAAGTGTACACTCTTTTGCACCTGATTTAGACCGTACCCAAATATCTTTCGAACGCCAAAAGATCTCTCGAAAATTCTATTTAGGGGTCGAAATATTCGTCCCCTCAACCCTATCCCCACGGTGCACCAGTTTTGAATCAGCGTGGACCACAATCGCATTGGAATAATAGGATAGAAGCACTCACCATGGCGAGAGGCCCGAAAACAAAACCAAAGCAGCTGAGTGAAGCACAATGGAGCTTTGTATTGAAAATCCGTGGACGCATAGACCAAGATCCCCGTGGCTACTTCAAGAAAGAAAACTGGCGGTGCATTGTTCCTAAATCAGGACGCTACGACAGCGCAGTACTGGACCAACAGAAGAAGAAGAGTTGCGTGGAAGACTTTTATATCAAGCCAATCGCATCATGGGTTCCTCATTATCTCATTCCAAACCATGTTCCCTGCTGCCCTCACTGCAAGAAGAGGAAGCACGTTGATATTGTCAAGGCCAGATGGGTGAACTGCCCCAAAGTTCTGTTCAGCACTTCACGCCACCGCTACCTGGACACCATGCTCTACCCCTGTGTCGCCTGTAACAAGACATTCGCAGGATATAATAAGGAGAGTATGAAGCTGGACTCCTCCCTTTATTACGGCTACTTCCAATTCTATTTGGGTGATGGTTTCGCAGTTGATGAGGAATTGCATCGTCTAATAGTGGAGAGTGCAAGCACAGAAGCTACAGCAACAATTCAGAAACGCCTGACTCGAATGGCTTATGATGCTTACTACGAAGATCACCAGCTCTATCTTACAGCAATTGGACTAGACACAATTCGTCCAAAGAAAAAGCAAAAGACGATTGCAGAAATGGTGGTTCAATTGGGTGGGAACTCAGAGTTACAGAGACTTATGAACAAAAGCAACCGCATGTCAAACGAGCTGAAGATGGCCAGGTTAACTTGCCAGTCAGCTGATTCAAGAGCCAATTCGGACATGGCCTTCAAGAATATGCTGTCTAGCAAGTCTGATCGCAACAAATTTGGGGACCAGAACATTATGAAAGGTCTGGGTAGCACCAAGCTGAAAAAGCTGATTGAAGCTGGAATCGACAGCTGTCATGAATTGTTGGCCGCGAATCCACGGGATTATCCAAATCTGAAGCCATTGAAGAAGTGGAAGCGGAACGTAGAAACTCACTACGAGAATCTCCGCGCGGTAGCTGTTTCAAAGCAACAGGATGTCACTCGCGCCATTGAACGGTATAATCAAGCAATTGATGATTTGCGAGAATATCAACAGGATAATGAAGGAGTGGAACCACTGGAGCCAGAGGCAGAAGAGACAACAGCCCCAGGGCCGATTCCTTTTTCCAAGTTCGATGACAAGAAAGGCTTCAATGGACGAGTGATATCAAAATGGAGGATTGACAGCCTTGTTTCTACCGTGTTCCACCACAGGAAAGAATTCCAGGAATTGAAGATGAGGTCCCTGACAGCAGTTCTTTTGAAGATCGACTTCAATTACAAGCTTGCTCAGAAAATTCGAGTGTGGACCAAGCAAGGGCAGAGTTTCCAGCCTTACAAGTGTATTATCACCATTCAAAATGAAGACGGGCTGACTGTATTCTGGAAAGGGCTCAAGCATGGTGAATCCTTTTCAGAAATCGAAACTGATCTTGTTAGATTGAGAGACCGATTGAATCGAAACCGAGTTGCTGAGCATGTAGCCAAAGTGTTGAAGCAACAGGAAAATGGTGAGGCTGTTGATGACGACTTTGAAGAGGATGCTCAAAGCGCCAAGGTCATTTATGTGGATAACTGTTGCAATGTGAAGAACATCCTTCTCCGAATCTTTCCTTCTGTGGTGATCAAGCTGGACCCATTTCATTGGCTGAAGCGATGGAATGACATGCTGGTTGACTCTTCCTCTGCGCAGGCTGGAATTTTCAGAGGTCTCATGTCACGGGCTTTATTCATTGTTACTTCTGAAGAGTACTCGAGATCAAAGGAGAAGCTTCAGCAAAAGCTGAAAAGGGAACCAGAAGTTAAGGAGATATTGAAGGAAGCAAACGCGACCATTCCAGATCCAGAGACACTTAGGAGGAATGTGGAGGCAGTGTTCCAGTATGTTCAAAGCAAGGATGCCGACACCATGACGTTGCTGGCTACAAGATCTGCCGCTGATACTTCTCCACGACCAAAGCTCTTCATGAAGTCTTGGAAGGTTCAAGATGTGATGAGGAATCAGCTGTCGCATGTTGACAAGGGATGTCTTAGCGATCCTTCCCCCAACTTGGTGAATATCTTCAGACGCAACCCAAACACCGATGTCACCTACGTTGCAAGGGGTACCAACACTAATGAGCGAGACAACCTTGACCTGGCAACCAAGATACTGACGGCCACTCACATTGGTAAGTTTGTTCCAGTCATGTACCGCTCTTCAATTTGGCGATTATCAACTGACCACTGAAACATTGCTGGTACATCACTGTTTGAATTACTTATAGGCATTCAAAGAGGCGAGCGACTTGTCTGCTGTTTTTTCGAAGAAAGGAATCAGCAGAAGGCAATCCGGCGATTAGGAGCCACTGACCATGGCATCTGCCATACAGAGAAGTTACTGCTCCTGAACAGTTATGCTCGTACTGTTGGATTCGACAAAAATGAGTTGCCATACACAGTTCCTAATCCCCGGAGGCCAGAACATGATGTGGAGGAATACATGGGTTTCGCCTATGCAGCCCCTCAGATGGAGGAAGTGTCCAATCCTGCAGAACTCACAGAGGCTAACTACAGCTCATCGGATGGAGAAGAAGAAGAGGCAGTTGCCAATGACGCTGACGAAGTTGTGCCACAGCAAGTTCAAGATATTGACAGGGTACTTGGCGATTTATTGGGGGACGACTATGATATGGAGGTATTCGGTACTGAAGAAGAATACTTGGCCAGTTTGGAGAAGGATCGCCAAACCCAAGAGGCTATGCAGTTGAATGACACTGGTGATGCTGCCGACCAAACGGATCATGTCAACAGAGACCAAATCGAAGCCGAAATCAACCGCTTGCTACCAGCAGCCAATGGCCGCGAATCCACTCTGGAAGCATTCCGTCGGCTAACCAATCAGTGCCAATGGATACCCTTCCGATCTCCTGACAGCACCACCACAGCATCAGCCATTGACAAAGAGGAAGCAGAGCTTTTCGATGAGTGGTCACCTCGATACAACAGACATGCGAACAGCGGCCCAACATCTTATAGGTCGTTTGAACGAGACTGGAATGGGGAAGTATCACGGCGCTTCAAACTGTGGAGTACTCAGGGAGATACAGTAGTCCAGCTTCGATACAAAAGCAGGGTTCTTCTTCAACAGCACTTTGATAAGTTGGAACAGCTAAAGAGTCTCCAGGCAAGTGTTCCCACCGATGATACAGCGAGGCAGCAACTCGACCAGTCCCTGCGTTCGAACCGCCGAGGAGTGGCAAATCCACCACTCGCCCATGACACCCAAGAGCCTCAATACCACAACACAGGCGCCACCCCTCTAGGCAATCCTGGTGCCTTGAATGCTGTTGTAGTTGCTGGCACCTTGCGCCCTGCTACTGGTGTTACTCCATACATTGTGCAGCAAGTTGCTGTTCCACAACAAGCACCACCAAGACCACAAAGAGCGCCAGTATTCAGAAGCAGAAAATATTGCTGCAGTTGTGGTTTCAAAAGGAGTGACCATGTAATAACTGAAGAGGGAGTTGCAAAGACCTGCACAAGAAACTATTGTGGTAATTGCTTTCAAAGGAAGGATTGTCATGGTCCAAATGATGGCTTTGGCCCTACATGCAAGAACCAAGTTCATGGAAGGCAGGCATCGACTGTGAAGGATTGGTACAATTGTAAGTCTGGGTTATTGTTACTGTTGACACTATCTGGATAACAAACAACAACAATGTTTACAGTTGCTGTTTCCTTTTCTTTTCAGAGCTGACACATATTCAAGGCATTGGGTAAGAGTAGCCACCATGATGAGCAGTAAATGCAGCCCTGTGGACAATGTACTGCTGGCTACTGATAACCATTCCACTCAAACTGTGCTTGTGCTTCTTCCAGCAGTCAGTGTTAAACCAATGAGTCCACTCTGAAAGCAAGAGCTCTCTTGCTTCCCACTGCCACGCTCCAAATTGAGTGTAAAGTGCCTCTCTCATAAGTGGTCTAACTATCAACCTGCACAACTCTTTCTTTGTGACAGGATCTCCTTCCTCCACTGTCAAGGCAAGCAGAGCAAGGACTTCACAGTACCACTCAGTGCTATGCCTGACTCCCCATCCAGTCATGGTCTCCAGAATCCAAGTCATATCAGGTGTCATGGGCACAGCTTTGTCATCCATGATGAGTTGCTCCACCATGATACTGGGAAGGTACTTTACCTTTAGGCAAAAGTACTGACTGTGCCTGTTTGCCCTCCCAGTTTCATCTATCAACAAAACATACTTGAGTTCATAGCTCTGCCTGGTCTTCCGAATCTCATTGAATGGATAGCGACTGTTAACATCTAGCCACCTCTTAAAAGCAACACTAGCAGTATGCAACATGATGATGTACCAGCTTGGCTGTAGTTGACTGTGTAGGAATCCAATCCAATGACTTCACCACGTTTGCGATCTTTTGTACGGAGACGAAAATGTGAGGACGATTCCAAAGATACGTACAGGCACCTCTTGCGTGGACTTAACGGTGATGCTGATTCCTGCAACGTTAACTCTGAAAATTTGAATTACTGTAGGGCGTTGTACTGGAGGTCGAGTTACTTAGAGCGAGTGAGTTGGGATTGTGTCCTATAAAAATTTCAGTACTATCCCAACAAGACCTGTACTCTCTCCGACCCACTTTTGAGAGAGCTTTGACGGAAAATATCGTACATAATGACGTCGTGCATTCTGCTTAGGCATGCCGGCTCGAACCATGACTCCTTCTGATTGGGCGATGATTTTTGGTCGGACCGTTTGAATGGTTATTGAAGGCAGAGCCGCCAGCAAGCCAACAAGCACGAAAGTGGAGGGAGCGCAGCAAGAAATGAGAGCGCAAGTCTGTCCGCAGTTTGCGCTGTGCACAAGAAAGCGACGACGACATCACCACTGTTGATATCGTATCAGGACAAACCATCGCATCATCCTTGTCTTACCGTAGGGCGAGCGACAGCAGCAGATAGAAGAAGGAGTAGCTACTAGCTGGCTAGCTACTAGTATTGTTTGAAGTGATGGTGTTCTTATTTTGTAGTCGACCAAGTGTCTTGGCGCCTTGGTCTGATTCTGATTGTGATTCTGCTTCTAGTGCTGCTAGTGCTAGTCCTGCTGCAACTCTATACTGTGGAGGGATATTCTCGCCGTCACCTCCATTACTACAAACAAACAGAAAGGATCCTTTGATGATAGTACAAGAAGAGGAGGAGAAGAAGGAGGGACATCAAGATCAAGAACAGTCAAGCGTGGAAGAGACCGTGGAAGACGAAGAAGCAGGCTGGGAGTCCACTACACCAGTGCCAGTAGTAACCAAGAGAACTCCTCCGAAGAGACTAGCCATTGTGCCAGACACTCCCACTACGGCAAATACTACCATGATGTCGATAGACTCTCAAGTGTACGACGATGACACCACGGCCGTGGCAGACAATCGTGGAGGGACAGTCCAATCAGTGGGCGCTTCTAGTATGGACTTGGTCAGTGCCAACAGTTGGTTGTCCCACAATCACTATATCGAAGATGATCCGTTTCTGGAAGAGTCAGATGAATCCAGTGCAGGAAATTGGGAACCCATTCTAGACCCTGATCTTGAAGAGGAAGAAGAGCAAGAAAATCAGACCATCACACTCTTTCCAACAGCACCTCAATCACAAGAAATACAAGATTATGATGTAGAGGTTGAAATTGACTTGGAATCTGCCATTTTGCCTCTGCTCCAAGAAAAATCAACCATGCCTTATCAAAACAGGCAGGCAAGGTCAGCAGCAGCAGCTGTGACTGCTACTTCTTCTTCAACAGACAAGTCCAAACAAGACACTGGGAAAAACAGGTTCACCAAAATTCTTGTCATCAATGTGATTGTCACCATTCTCATGGCCACGGGAATCTTGGATGTGGACGATCTTCTTTCCAGACCCATTTTCAGTTTCACACACTACCAAAACAACTACAACCCAGATCAACCACACCTTGCCAGCTTTTTGTTTCTACAAAGAGACAGGGGCAATTCTTCCACAATACCAACAAGACAGCAAAGAACACTGCGAAGGAATACTCGACGAACGGTCAAGTCTCACGAGACGACCGTCACTACACAAAAACGAGAGTATCAAAACAGTACCTTTGCCAGACACACTCCTTGGTTGGAAGATTTGCACAATGACGAAGAGCCCCAGTTTCAAGGACTTTTGCGCACCGATAGTATCTTTTTCAAAATCAGCACCAACACCCACAACACAAGAAGAAGACACCCACGCCACAGTTGGAGGATGACACGAATTGGACCCAACGGCTACAGACGCTGCGAGGACATGCCGCTGTCCAACAAGAACAACGGCCGCCGGTTGTCGTGTTGCTATGGAGAGTTCTATCGGAACAGTACAAGAAGCTCGATATTAAGGTGCGAGGACACTCGCAATTGGCACAATTCAAGCAACAGCAGCGTCAGTTGCAAGTGGCAAGAACCCTGCTGGTGTCGTAAACGCAAGAGGCGATCGATTCCTCGAGCGATTCGTGATGATTGATTCGGCTGCAGCTCGCGAGACAACCCTTGTCGTGCGAGCTGGTGTTCCTTGCAAGCGACCGAAGAATGACCACACACGACGATGCCCACACCCCAAAAAATATTGGACTGGCTCTTTTTTGATTCCATCCAATGAGGCATCTGTCGCTCTTTCTGGTCGCGGCACTGGTAATGACACGGTGGAATACAGTTAGGTAGTGTTCATGGTAATGTATAATAACAGTGTAGACTTTTTGCTCGACTCGTATTATTATGTTCCGTCGTCACTATAAGTTCCATCGCCCTTTGCTTCCTCGTCATCATCATCCGCATACCACCAATCTTGTTGGAAACAGGCGTGTGGCCGGCCAGATTCGGTAAATCCATGTAGCCGCCGACACTTGCGCACCTCGCGGATGTCCGGAGCTTGTTCCAGCTCCTGCACCAGGAGCTTCTTGAGCCGCTCCCACATCTCTTGTTCTGCTGTGAACGATGCGGATGCTGGATCATCGTATGTGGGAACGTAAATGGCGTTTCCAAAGTTGTCGATGCATTGCTGAGGCGTGTTTTCAATCATCAAAGTCCGCTCCTTCCGACCAAAAATTCGATGTTGCTTGCCTTTCGCACAACACGCAGCCTTCCAAACCTTTTTCAAGTCCTTCGTGTACCGACAGGGACATGCATAAGTGTAGTTGTGACACTGGCACCGGTCACAAGAATGACGATACCAACGGCACCACTGGCATCCTAGTCCGTCGTTATGGTCCATACCATCAAAGGTCAGTTTTGTTTGCTCCTGCTGTTTCAGCTTGGAATGACACCAGGCAAACTCAAACGCTTTGTTGCATTTTACGCCTTGGCAAGGTTTGTCGTCGTGTGGGGCAACGAGCGGACAAATGGTTTTCACGCAACGATCCAAGTGAAAGTCACTGGCGGCGGTCCACAGTGCCAATGCATGGCCCCGTTGTTGGCACCATTGCAGGAACTCCATGCTTCCTGGACGCAAGACGATTTCCTCTGCCGTATTTTCCGTCTCGAGGATCAAGGTTCCGTCGATATCAAATACCAGGCCCAAGCGCTGTTCTCGGCTGATCTGTTGCTGCGTCTTGGTCTTGCTTTTATTATTATTACGCTTCATTTTTGGTTTTGCTTTTGCGTGTCTTTGGGTTGTGGTGGCAGGTTGGTGCCTCCGACCCTTGGCCGTCGCCTCTGGATGGGCTCTCAGACGTGCCAACGTGCCAACCTCAACAACTGGATGAGTCGAGTCCCCTTTGGGATCTGATGGCGCGCGTGGACATGAAGCGTGGAATATTTCGGCACCGTGACACGGAGGAAGAAGAGCGTGGAGTAAAAACGGAGAAATGCCACGCGATGCATATGGCTCTGCCAAATCCAGCACTGACCAGCTAGACAGCAAGCTAGGTGTGAATCGTTTTGTCGCAATCGATAGGCATTGACATGCAGCTCACTAGCGTGGGAATATGCAATCGCAACATTTGCAAAAGTCCATCTGAACCAATGCAAAAGAATCGCACAATTTGGGAACGCTGAAACGAAACAAGCAGTCTTGAAAAAAGAAGTGCCGTTCCGAAGCAACTTCGTGTCCTCCAAAGCAAGTCGATCACCTGGTTGCATTAGTTCATTTTCCTGTTGATCAGCACGCCAGGCACATTGCCGCCCTTGAAAATTACTGTATACTCACTCAAGACCAGCAACCCGAGAAGAAGCCATCATGTTTTCCTTTAGCCTACAATCCGTCGTGCGTAAAAGTAGGAGGGCGCCAAGTCTAGGCACGATTCTGCCAAAATTTTCCTCCATTGGTGGTCAAGTTGGTTTCCATCCTACGGGAAGCAATGTCGCAAAAGCACTGCAAACACAAATGCTTTCTACTGGTACCGGTGCCACTATTGATGCAAACTCCAACAGGGTCACAGGTACTGGGCAACTACTGACTTA